CTCAGATCATCCTAGTAACTCTTTTCTGCTCCTGGTTCTTGTTTGAATTCATCTTTCTCAAACATGGGAGACCAGAATTGCACATAGTATTCCAGATGAGGTCTCACCAGTGCCTTGTAAAATGATACTAACACTTCCCTGTCTCTAGTGGAAATACCTTGCCTGATGCATCCTAGCCTTTTTCACGGCTGCATCACATGGCATTTTCATGGCAGCTCACGGTCATCCTGTGATCAACATTTCTTTTATAAATGGGGAGAAGGTCTTTTAGGAAGAGTGCCATTGTTCCAGAAAGTCTCTGGAAACATCTGCCCAAACTTTATGAAAAACCACACAAATGTTCCAGAGATTCTATATAGATCACTTACCTGACATTGTCTCCAGCACTTATATTCCAGCCCAATATTAATTTCTAGTTTTATTTGTTTTTATTATTACTATTAATCTCTGTTTGAATGTGAGCCGGACAGAACTTGTTTCCCAACTGATCTTAAGCATACTGCTGCATCCACTCAAAAAGCTGCTTCTCAGGTTATACTACTTGGCAGTCTATCTTCCAAAGAGCCAACTGTTCATCAGAACAATAATATTTCAGGGATTTTTGGAGATCATTCTTTGTGTTATTTCCCAAAGGCACCGAAATATTACTATCATAATTCATCCTTTAGCCTCTGCAAGACAGCTGGCAAAATAATGTAACCTGCAGACTCACTCTGGTACTGAGGCATTGATGGCATTGGCCTAGTCTACACTGCGGGGGGGTGGGGAGGGAGTGGGGATCGATCTAAGTTACGCAACTTCAGCTACGTGAATAACGTAGCTGAAGTCGACGTTCTTAGATCTACTTAGGGCGGTGTCTTCACTGCGGCAAGTCGACGACTGACGCTTTCCCGTCGCCTGCGCCTCTTGCCCTGATGGAGTACCAGAGTCGACGGGAGAGCGGTCGGCAGTCGATTCATCGCGTCTACACTAGACACGATAAATCAACCTCCACTGGATCGACTGTTGCCCGTCGATCCAGTGGGTAATGTAGACAAGCACTTTGAGAGCAACTGTGAAATCATTCCAAGCTCCAAGATTCCAAGTGATAATTAAAGTAAATACCCCTCAACAACTGCCAGCAGGAAGTGGGATTACATACCTAACAGAGAAGTAGCAGGTAAACAATCAAAAAACCTACACTTTACATGGAAGGGGTACATATACTTTAATGGCTACTCAAATGGCCAGTAGCGATTAATGGTATTATCTACTTTTTATTTACACTTCAAAAAAGCCTAACAAGTTATGCACAGCTATTCTGTACCACATGTTCCTCTTGCTGTTACCATCACCCTCTCTTTTTTTTGTTTGTTACTTCTACATGTTAAAATGTTTATGTATTTAAATAAATGTTTTACATTCAGCCTACCTCAGGACAAGGATAACTCAGACTGGTCTTACAATATTAAGTCTGGTGATCCAGCAAGGGAAACAAATGGCAGAGTCAAGGACCTATCACTTAAAATATATTGCTTCCAGTCCTCTAGAGCTTAAATATTAGAATTTTTAGAAAAAAACGCCTCCTCTAGTATAGTTATCAGGAAGTCTCAAGCCGCCAAGTCCCAAATCACATTTAGTTTGTGCAGAGCAGGAATTTAATCCACAGTGTATAGCCCATTAAGACTTCAACATTAAAATCCAAAAGATTACAATACACCTTGCTGTAATGGGGGGAGGGGGGAAAACACATGTTTAAACCAAAGTATTTCTTATATTATTAACAGCCCAATAATCATACCATTTAGCCATCTTCAAAGAAATATAAATATTACATTTGGCATATATGATTACAGAAAGTAAGCAAACAAAATACACAGCTCTGAAGTCTTTAAATATTCACCCTTTCGTATAAGACATGACACTTACTTGCCATCTGTGTCTGATGCAGCTGCATAGTGCAATGGTGTACAACCCCTCTCATCAAGGTCATTCACACTAGCTCCAGATCCCACAAGGGCAAACAGGCACTGGTAATTACAATTGGCAGCAGCATAATGAAGTGGAGTTCTTTAGTATACATTCAAATACAAGAGAAAGACATGCAACAGATTAATGACAAAAATGCAAAATAAAATGAAATTTTAAAAACATTTTATTATTGGCTGAATAATTCAGTTCTAATATATGTAAATATTACATGGTTCAGTAAAAATCATTTTAAAAAATGTAATAGCAGCCCAGGGTACATATTTGTCAGCCAATACATGGACAGCTTGTGTGTATTGAGAGGTATACATACATGCACAGGAAAATGAAAGAAAGAATTATTGAAACCTCTGTTTGTTCAAACAACTTAATTTTAGGCCATTCATTGACAAAACATGAACAAATCTGATCATCCATAGTGCAAAGCCACCAAGACAGACCAGAACAAAATTCAACTGTTTATTTAGGGTGAAATTTAACCCTTCCTGCAGAACATCTAAAGTAGTTTTGTGTGGAGTGCTCAGTAGGGTTTTGAGGACAGAACTGAGGTCTAATGTGGAGTCCTACAGAGTGTCTATTTGTTTTATCCTGTCTTAATGTACCAAAAATATATGCTTGTTTAAAAAATAAAACACATTATGATTTTTTAAAATATGTATTTGATTTTAAAGAAACTTGACATTTGAATTTCATATGAAAATATAGTATTGATGAATTACTCAGCCTAGGGGGAAAAACCCTTACCAAACATAATATAGTATATAAACAATTTTCAGAAGTAAATGACTTAGGTGTTTTTGAAAATTTTACCCCAAGTGACTGAGGGGTCTAAGGGCACGTTTACACTGCCCCGCAATTTGGACAGAGGGATTGTTAATAGTGTGCACCACAGTTCCCCATGTGGACACGAATTCAAAGGTTCCAAGTTTGCACTAACAGACTTCTTCAAAGAGTGTGAACTCTGGATCTTTAAGTTCATTTCTGCAGCATCCACATGGGAGAGTTACAAAGCGGCACTTTCAGTATCAGTGCACACCACTACTTTTTAGTCCAAACTTCAGGGCAGTGTAGACATGCCCTCAGTTCCATTTTCAAAAGTGACTTAGTAGCCTAAGGGTACGTCCAGGCTACCCGCCGACGGGGGAGCCGCAGACATCGATCCCGCGCCGCGAGGACCCGAAGTCGAAATAAGATACGTAGCTAAGTTGCGTATCTTATGTCAACCCCCCTCCCAATGTAGACCAGCCCTAAGTCACTGTTGACAAGGGACTTAGGTGCTTTGAAAATTTTGCCCTACATCTTGTTTTTTTAAAGTTACTACACTACTCTGATCCCCTTTATCTCCTCCCTACCTATGATAACTCTTTTTTTTAAATCTCTTTCCCCACAGATCTTTTCTTCATCTCTCAATATATGTCAAGAATGTCAAATAATCTCATTCCTGGTCCAAATATAATCAGCAGCCCAACAAAAATGTAAGTGCAGCTTCCACAGGGAAAACTACTACAATTAACCCTTCTATCCTCAGCCAAGGGTGCAAGTAGGACTTCAGCAGAAGTATCTGACTATGAATCGTGTCTCCTTTTGGAGTCCTACTCCTGTCACTCAACCAAGGACTGAGGGACCATTTCCACTAAACCATTGATGCTACGAACAATATTTTTAAATTATGATAAATTCTTGCCTCTGGTTCTTCCAGAGCATCTCTTCTTAGTTCTCAGTCTTTCTGACTGTAATCTCTCTTTGGCTGTCTTTAATTAGTATCTTGCACAAGCACTAACCACACTGTCTGCACTTAAATAACAATCTGGCACTAGCAATAGTTATTTGAAGAAAGTAAAAGCATGAGTGAGAGCAAAAGCGAGAGAAAACTATATGAAGAAGGGATGGATGGATGGAGGTAAAAAGGAAAGTTATTTTATTAAAAGAATTTAGATTTTACTTTAAAAAATACAGAAGATTGCAAAATGTTGAGAAGTGGCAAAGCAAACAGGTTGATAAAGAGCATTTATAGCCTTGACAGGTGGGCTAATGAGGAGATACCAGTAAATCTACAGGTTGAGAGCCACTTAAACCCATCAGAATGCACCTTCCACCAAAAACATCTTTATTAAAGTTACAGTAACATATGAGATCAATTGGACAATTTGAAAGAAAAAACAAATACATATTAAAATACACAAAACAACTATATAACAGAATGTAACAAATCAAATCTTGTGACTTTTCTATAATTATAAACTTTCAATAAGATGCTTAGACTAAATTGGTTGTAGTACTTGGATGGGGTTCCAACAATTTATTATGAATACAATCACTCCAAAAGGAATGTATTGTGAAGGAATATGGGCTCCTTCACACAGAATCATTGTGCTACTTATGTGAATGTTTTAATAAAGTTCTAAAATCCACAAACTTAGAATGTTGTGTCCTACCTCCCAAATTTGTCCTTTTTGTTGAAGTCTGCACCAGTGTTGAGCAGAAGGTTTAGGCACTCCAAATTCCTATTAAATTAATGCAACATTGATTGCAAATTAAATTATTTTCAAGCACACAGTGCCCTTTACAAACTATCGTAATTGCTGCACAGTTATTTATCACACAACAATATTTTTTACTGATAATGAATCAAACTATATTTTGCATACAAAACACCACCAAAAACAGACTTTAAAGTTGTTGAAGAAAATATTAAAGGACCATAAACTGTCCTTGGTCCAAATGTAGGAATGTTGATGTTTATGCAGTGTGCCTTTTGAAATCAACAAGAGCATTGTCCTAAAGTAGTAAATACACTTCTAATTTGATGGAAACGTAACAGAAAAAATGAATACATGCTAAGAGTTTTTTGCCATGATTCAGCCCATGGCAAGTTTTTACCTATACATTTTTGTTTTAAAGCCTTTTAATAAGTGCCAGGAAAAACAAAGTTTGCAATGCATATGCTATCTTTGATACTGCATTATGAAGAACACTATCTAAAAAAAACTATTTATGGCGATAGCTGTAAACATTGTTCAGAGAGAGAGGAAAATTACTAAGATTATGATATGAAGCCTAAATGTGAGGATGAGAGTGAGATAACATCACAAGTGAGTAATTTTTATTCCAAGGATATTTTATACCAGTAAATAGAGCCCTACGCGGATAAAAAAATTGTATCTGCAAAAACGATACACAGGATATCTGCAGATTTGCTAGGCTTTAGATATAAAATGTGGATCTACATCCACTAATGATCGCAAAAATGGTTCACGGAAATCTGCATCTGTGGATATCCACCAATTTGCAGGGCTCTACCAGTAAACAGCCACCAAAACAAACAAACAAACAAAAAAAACCATAAAAAGTACCCTTGGTTTTATTATATGACTTTAAAATGATATGTGCATGCAGCATTGGCCATCTGATTTCTTGAAAGCTGTGTGCACTTGAGCATGTACAACAATCTATTGCCCAATTTTTCTAGGCAATGTTGAATAGCTACTCTGTACACTAATTTTATAGTAACTAATAAACTGATCCTCCCAATACTTGTGCACATGTTTGGCTTTATTAATGGGCGGCCTCAAAGTTAATGTAACTAATATTGTGCTTTAGTCACATGCATGAAGTGTCTGCGAAATCAAGGCCTATATGTTTACATGCACTCCTTAAGATGCCCACCTAGAGAAACAACGCTAGTCAAATCCTAGTTCTTCTATAGTCTGAATTCTTCACATCACAAACCATCCATGAGCACTATTGATCAAAATGTCCTTGCTTCTGGTTAACTGAACTCCAGTTGGCACTGCATGAAAATTTAGCTTTACTATTGACAAATCTATGTGCAGGGATATGCTAAACATACAGGTTTCCCAGGCTCTTACTGTCTGTGTGAAAACAACAAGGAGTCCAATGGCACCTTAAAGACTAACAGATTTATTTGGACATAAGCTTTCGTGGGTAAAAAACCTCATTTCTTCAGATGCATGGTTTTTTATACACGGAAGCTTATGCCCAAATAAATCTGTCTACCGGACTCCTTGTTGTTTTTGTAGCTACAGACTAAACACAGCTACCCCCTGATACTGTCTGTGTGCACATTCATGCTATCCTCAGCTTCCCTCACATGCTGGTAAAAACATTTAAAACATTTTTTCTTCGTGAATAATCAAAAATAAGTTAGCCCCCTGCATTTGTTGAAAAAAGTAATCTAATATCCAGATGTTTATAAATACAACGAATAGCATATACTATAAAGATATACACACACAGAGGGTAAAGTTGTATCTAGCTCATACATAACTGTGCCTGGGGAAAGGCAGTACGGAGCCCTCCCCCAACTCTGCATAGCCTATTTCAAAGGGCTGGCCAGAATTACAGCCCCTATGCCCCACTGTGAGCAACTCGACGGAAAGGGGATAAGTGAAGAAAGCAGGTGAGGTCGTGGCACTGTACCCCTTCACCATGTGTCTCTGAAGTGCTCCTAACATAGGGCTCTGGTAAATGATTGCTCTAAATAACATAGTCTGTACTTTCGATAGGTAGTAAAAGATGCAAGTAAAATTAATCCATTCTGAGCCAATCCCGAACCTGGTATAAACACTGATTACTCCTGGGGGAATTCTTCACCAAAAAATTTAAAATTCTGCACACAATATTTTAAAATTCTGCGTATTTTATTTAACTTTGGTTTCAATTATTTCCGTAATTTATTTAAACTACAAGATAATGGATGGAGAATGGAAGCGAGGAGCATTGGAGGAAATCCCCAAAGCCCCCTTTCCTAATAGTCAACAAATATATAAAGCCATATGCTCAGTGCTCTTCAGTTGCCTGATGTAACAAGTGAGGACTGGGGAAATCAAACTCACAATTTATATTGGCTACTGACCATCTCCAGAAAAGGAATTAGCAAACAGTTCATGGAGCACATTTTGATAGGAAATTCTTTCAGTCCAAAAAGTTAGACCCGTTCTAATCACGAAAGCAACATAAGCATTTATAAGGCCATACTGTCCTTTACACCCCTCTGGCAATGTAAAGGAGCCTTAAAACTTTTATACCTGTTTTATACTCCTGGGGGAAAGACAAAAAGACACAAAGACAATGGAAGCAATTCACTAAGCAGGCAGGCTGCTGCATTCTGCTCTGCCTGAAGGGACAGAGCCTGTCCCAGGCCTACCTCCTCAGAAACACCCCAAAGCCCTGCCCCTCCACATTGAACATGCTGCAATAGGGAGCAAGACGGACAGAGTGTCCTACACTACACACACACACACACACACACACACACACACACACACACACACACACCTGCCCATCCCCCAGGTGATTTACATCTCTACTGGCTGCTCCAAGCATCAGAACCAACCTGCGTACACTGCCGGGGAGGAGCGTGTGACCACTCTTGCGGCCTCCCTTTGTTTCCCCATTAGAAGTCATTTTTCTGTGGGGAAGCAAAGAAATCTGCGGGGTACATGAATTCTACGCATGCGCACTGATGCGGAATTCCCCCAGGAATAACTGATTGTGTTTGGTCATTACAATAAATGATTGATGACTGAGTAGAAATTGCAATTTATGCCTTTTTAAAGCTTGTAGAAAGAAGCCATCTTGAAATTATGTTCACACTTACAAAGCTCCTTGGGAGAAAAAGGAGGAAAACACTATCAGGATCAATGATTTAAGAAAAAAATTAAAAGTGAAGGCAGAGCTTCTACCTACCCTCCAGCTGCAGCTGCATGAAGGCAGGTCCTGCCAAAATCATCTGGGGTGTCTATGTCAAAGCCTACAAAAATAAGTTAGTATACTGTGAAACCATATATTTAATTCAACCCCTTCACCAAACTGCCCTTCAGTAATTAGGCTGTAATGCCATCAAGTAAGTTTATGTTATTTACAACAGTAAATATTGAAACAAATTTTTTCCTTAATTTAAGAATTTCGTAGTGACCGGAATTAGTAAACTACACAGGGATGAATTCCAGTTCTCCCCAAATTTTCCCCCACACTATGCTTCCCCTCTTTCTTCAGCCCAAACTGGATGGACCCTACGTATGTGTCCCATCTCGCATGGAGAGTACACATAAAGCTAGTTAGTGATCTGATTTGAGAAGTGGTCTCTAGATTACTAATATGGGCTGCCTCTCCATTGCCCCTATTTCGCACTCTCCCTCCCATTAACCCCCCTAGGAGGCTTCACCCAAAGTACAAAGTATTTCTCGGTTCTGTTCACTGAACAATCCATCTCGTCACACTAATACCTTGCCTGACGCCACTGTCTCCAAAATGGTCATCCATATAGGGACAAACTGACTTTGCAAGGTTTGCATCACTGTGGTGGATGAATTCAGATTCCAGAAGGGTTCTTAATATATGAATCAACTAATTTCACCTCCCTCCCCACAAAAAATACACTAGTCAAAGATATCAATCTTCACCAACATCAACTTATTAAAAAGGAGTTTCTAGGCTACTGGTGTCCAACCTTTTCAGACTGAGTGCTGCACATATAAAATTTTTAAATGGTCAAGCAACCATGACTGATGCTTTAGATTGTGTGTGCTGGTCCACATCCCTTTGTGCAACTAACATACACAATGGAAATCATCTGCAAATCCTCTGATGGAGATTACCTTGACACAGAGAAGTCTCCTGTAGGTGCACATCTAGTACAACTTTGCACTGTGACAGAAAGGGGAAGTGGCTGGAGCATGCTGAGCTTTGCCTATCCTCCAGCTGTCACATGGTACCTAACGGACAGTTGTCAGCTGGTGCAAATTACAGCAAGATGCTCTAACCAGTGCTGGAGAAGAGAATCAAGAAGCCTAAATGACAGTTCCTCAGCTTCTCTTCCTTTTCCCCCTTCCCCTGGGCTTCCCTACTTCCCTGTGGTGTGAAAGGGAGCCCTCCTTTTGCTAATCACTCTCCTAGGCTGAAGACAGACAGTCAAGCTTCCCTTTTGAGCCCCCTGGAGCTTCCATCTCTCACCAGGGAAGCAGACTATGGAGCAGCCAAAATCTTCCCTGCCTTGCCATGCAGTAGGTATTCAGCTGAAAAGGGACTGACACTGTTCAGCATAATTCCAGCTCACAGCAGAGCTGATCCTGGGGTCACAGGTGAAGCAATACCCTGTACTGTTTCTTCATAGTGAAGGGTCTGATTAAACATTTCAGTTTGAAAGTCGCAGAGTGCTGCTCAGGGAGCATGTTTTTAATTCATAATCAAACACAAACATTCTTCTTAATGCAGTTGCCCCCAGGGCCTAGCGGTTAGAGCCTGTAGAGCCACAGGTTGAACACCACTGTTCTAGGCAAAGTTGTTCTGGAATCATGACAATTTGGAGTTCGAGGGACAAGTTAAGAAGATGTTAAAGTGATATCATCACCTCAGGTTTTGAGCCACTATAGTTCCTAAACTACTTGTTTAGTTTGTCTCAATCCCTCCAGAAAATGTGCGCACAAGACCACACTTTTGAAATTTCAGGCATATTGCTTCAGTTCTGGCAAAGTTTTACAAGTTTTCAAATTTAGGCTTACCACAGAAAGCTTGCTCCATCTTTAACTATGCAAGGTAGCTCAGACTAGCCAGCACAATCCTCAGCTATAAACAAGCTAACTGATTATTTCTTTGTACTATTGAAAAAGGGCTTAAATATTGTGAAATATAACAAAGTACTAAAAGGTTAATGTATATGTAGTAACCACAACACATTTTTAAAAGAGTATCCTACCTGATGAAAGGAGCTTTCTGCAACAGTCTGAAAATCCACTTAATGCTGCCAAATGGAGAGGAAACATCCCATGTACACCTCTCCTAAGATACATCATAGTCTCATTACAATAAAAAATCAAGATTGCATGCTAAATTGCACATGTATAGGGTTTCATCAACAAAATCTAATTAGAATGATTAGATCTGAGGAAATCTCTTAATATGTTAAGAAGCTTACTTTCAATCTAAAAATAATGCATTCATTCAGAGTGACAGTCAGTTAAAATGTATGAGGTTTTGGTTTGCATATTTCAACTATTATATTGAAGTACAAGTTGGCAACACAGTCCACTATTTCTTTTCTGATTTTTGTTTACACTACAATGAGATGTGACACTATAACAAGATACAGTATCTGCAAAGAATATATGACTGAATGCATTTCTAATCTCAGAACATTTAAAGAGCTAAGAAAGTAATGTGAAACAATACACTACTCTGGCTTTCTAATTAATGCATTTCTGAACTATTTTAGCCTATATCCAAGTTAGTTACTTACTTTGCAGTGTCAGCACCACTTGTAATTAGAGTGTTGATTAGTAGCTCATGACCATATCTAGCTGCAATGTGCAAAGGAGTATTTCCATTCCTATCTTCACAGTCTATTTCAGCTCCTACAATATAAAAGTTAGTGTGAATGCACATAAACGGTACATGCACATATGTTTGTTAGCAAAATGGTGTTAAATATTAATAAGTTTAAAGTAAAAGTAACGAGAGAGTGTGATTTTTTTGGTTTAAAAATTTAAAATGTTTTAGTGGTACTGAGTACTAATGGTACTCCTAGGGAATTCTGCGCCAAAAAAAAAAATTTTGTGCACAATATTTTAAAATTCTGCAAATTATTATTTGTCAAAATAACACTATATAATCAGGCCAATTTCGATTACTTTGGTAATTTATTACAAAATACCTGCCAGAAAGTACGTCTGTAACAATACAGACAACCAAAAAGATTCAGAAAATGTTTTTTGACAAACAGATTCCTTATAGGCATATTAATACAGAATTTGAGGTATTTTTGTTGACAGTTATCTTGTTTCAGTGAAATTAAATACAACAGAACCTTGTTTAACCTCCATTATCTGGCTCTCCTTATTAACCAAACCACCAGCCGCTAAGGGCTGACACCTGGATCACCCGCCACTAGGGTTTGCAATCCTTCTAGCTGCTGGTAACCAGACCCCCGAGCCCTGCCCCCATCCCTCACACCTTCTCCCCCCAAGGCCCCACCCCCATTGCTCGTGAAATCGTCTCAGGGAGCCTGCCTGTACATAACAGGCAGCCCCAACAGAGCAGGGGCTGGCATGGGTTAATAATCTGGAGTCTCACCCCAGCCCATGATAACCAGACTTTTGGTTAGGGTTGCCACCTTTCTAATTGCTAATAACTGGACTCCTGAGGCCCCCCTCCCCAGGCCCTGCCCCTGCTACACCTCTTCCCTCGAGGCCCCGCGCATCACTTGCTCAGCACAACCCCCCGCACCCTCCACCCCACAGTAACCAGACTTTTGGTTTGAGTGCCCGAGGGTTGCCAGGTCCCCTTTTAGACTGGACTTTCTGGTCAAAAACCAGGCACCTGGCAACCCTAAATGGCACTTGGACAGAGAAGCCAAAAACCGGACTGTCTGGGTAAAACGCAGATGGGTGGCAGCCCTGCCCACTCTCCAGTTTATCTGGATTTTTGGTTATCCAATCTGGCTCTGGTCCCAATTAGACCGGATACTCGTGGTTCCATTGTAATACATTTGAAACACACAAAACCGGAAAAAGGAAGCATTTTGGTGGAAATCTCAAATTGTGTGTGAAAAAATAAAATTCTGCAGGGAACATTACTTCTATGCAAATTCTGCAGTGGTGCAGAATTCCAGCAGGAGTATAATGGACAGCAAGTAAATGCAGGTCTCTTGTCATGTATCGGTAGAGCAGGGGTTCTCAAACTGGGGGTCGTAACCCTCAGGGGGTTGCGAGGTTATTATGTGGGGGGTTGCAAGCGGTCAGCCTCCACCCCCAAGCCCTGCTACGCCTCCAGCATTTATAATAGTGTTAAATATTTAAAAAGTATTTTTAATTTATAAGGGGGTGGGGTTGCACACAGAGGCTGTGTGAAAGGGGTCACCAGTACAAAAGTTTGAGAACCATTACTGTAGAGGGCAAATTGTTTCTGTAACTCAATGCTGTAGAAAAGGGACAATAATACAAATACCCTTGGTTTTCCATCTTTAAAGTGAAGATACAGATGGGTAAAGTCTATATGCATCTCATCAGAGTATAAAAACCTCACTAACTGAAATACTGGCCATAGCAAAACAAGAATATGAAAATGTCATTAACATTTCAATATATATACATAAATACTTTTTTCTTTTACCATTCTGGATGATGGTTTGTGATCTTGAAAATCTACCATGGATTGCTGTCATATGCAATGGTGTTTTCCCATCTTTACTCTGGAAATAAAACAAACAAAAATAAAAAACATCAACCCACAGCCAGCTACATTTATATACCAAAATCACCAAGGAGAAGTGATCCTTTTCCACCAACCCCTTCAATTCCCTCTCCACACTACTATAAAACAGTTGCTGGTAGTAAAAAACCAGGATGACACTGCAGGCTATTCAACACTGCTATTATCCTGTTCTTGTTAATCCCTTCTCCAGCTCTATCTGACAACTCAATGATGCACACTCACTCAGAATTATGCCGTTAGGACAATCAAGATGATAGTGGCAGCAGATAATCTTAGCGCCAAGAACTACATTTACTTCTTCCCTAAATCTAAAGCCAAAAAAATAAAGGCTCTTTTAAAGAACTGACTTGTATTCAGACTGAATAAGAGAACCTTATTACAGAACATTACAAAATATGTTAGAAGACTGACATTAAAATATTCATCTGTTTCTTTGATGTTAATTCAAAATGCAACTCATAAGTAATTCATCACAAACCACAAGTAATCCTTAAGGCAAACTATTCAACCATAGAGGATACTGTACATTTGACACACACATGAAAAGTACAATTAACAACTCACCCAGAAAAGGTACCCTGAAATTAGGTCAACTTTAACAGAGGGGATTCTAGTTTTTAACAGCACTATCTAAATACATTCATAAACTGTCTCTCCTATGAAATTTAGTCCATAGTTAGCTCATTATAGGTTAATGAAAAATCTAAATCACACAAAAAGCGTTACACACACACACACACACACACACACAATACTAGGCAATGTGACACTAAATTGCAACCATCATATTACTATATAAAAACTATACCATTTTCTATTCCCTTAGGTGCACATACACAACATGTTAATTAATGGCATACAGTAGAATGAATACAAAATTCCCTATTGCAAGGGGACAAAGTTAAACTTGCCGTGGGAACTTCTCCACTAAATATCTTGATTGTGTGCAATTCAATTCAGAACCAGAACATACAGGTAAAATTTCAGGAATATACTATTTCCTTCATGAGTGTTTTTGTTTTGTTTTGCCTTTTTAAGTATTCTAAAATAAATAAGTTGGGAGAAGTATACACAGAACAGATTCCTTAGGCAATGAACAGCAGCGTCAGTCCACTATTGGAAATATTTGAAAGGCTCAAATATTTCCTTTCTTCCTTGGAAGTCTTCCATCTAAGTACTGATCAAGCCTCCCCTTGCTAAGCATATGAGATCTGACATGATCATAGCCTATGGTAAAATAGCTGTAGGCTAATGGTTATTTGGTTGCATTCACTGAAGCTCAATGAAGTGAGATAATAGAAGATTAAAAAACAGGTCTCTTGTATAATGTACTATCAGGCAATATATGTCTATAAAATACTTATTTTCCAAAAACACAAATCTCTAGGAGAAGCCACTGTTATTACACAGCAAAAAAAAAAGCCCAGAACACCATGTAGTCTCAAGTGGTCAACCATACATGCCTAAACATGGTTTCACTTAAAATTAGATACATCAAGTCAACTCAGACCACTGAGATCATTTATTTTCAAGAATCCATCTGATACTAGTTCAAATACAATTAATACATCCTTATACATCCCATAATATACTTCTACATGTGGAAAATCATTATTTGAGTTTGCTATATTCTTTTTAGACTGGATGTTGCAGGAAAGGAATAGTGTTGAGCAGTAGTCACTAGGCTTTAAAGATCTAAATTACTATATGGATATTGACAATTTTGTACCTGCCAAAACAGCCTATATTTTCCCCCTCCCGTGGAAAACAGATGAAGGGGGAAACATATCAAAAGTCTAAAATTTCTGCTGCTCACTAATCTGTTGTATGCTTTCTTCCCAGAGGTGAAGCCAACAAGACTCTGGATGGACATTTCGGAGTTTCCAGAACACCCACTCATCAAGGTCCACAGCATATGCACACATGCATCCTCCTCCTATCCCAGATGCCCACCTATGCCCCCTCTACATCTCTAAAAATCACGGAAGTAGGTGACAGCGGAGAGAATTATAGTAGATATCTAAACTTACAAAGTAAGATATTTGTGATTCTGAATAGAATATTGTATTTTTATGACAGTTGCCAAAAACTACAAATATTTTGAACTTTAGCATTAAAAGCCAAAAATCAAGATTATATATGAAAATAAAAAATTGAGCACAGCTGAAATCCTCTATACATATCGCTGAAAAGTTTTACAATAAACTCTACTGAATAAGAGTAGTCTAAAGAAGCAAAAACCACAACACTATAAAATCCTACTATTTTAACTAAAGGAATAATCCTTAGGGAAAGCAAGGAATCTAAAGTCGGTATTTGGCCCTAAACCAGGGAACAACCATCCTACTCAATATTTGAAAACCAGAACTGACTGAGCAGAGCTGGAATACTCTATTACTGAAAAGTTCACACTACTACAACCACCTCTGCAAAATAAAGCTACTACTAAGTCAATCTCCATCCTTCCCTGCAAAACTGTAACTAAAAAAAAAAGAGCATTCCCATTTTAATTAAATAACCACCGGCAAAGCAGGAGAGAAATACCAATCTTAGTTACATTAATATAAACCCATAATAATTCCATTAATTTTAATGCAATTCCACTGCATTTATACCAGTGTAAAAAAGCCCTTAAACTTCTCTTGTAAGCTCATATATACCCTTCCCGACAAATGGATCCGGCAAAGCAAAAGTGTTCTGGGATGCAGCCACGGACCCGGATGTCCTTGGTGTGAGGGGCACCCTCTCTTTTCCAGTCATCGGTACCAGCGCTGAGATCTTCCCCGGCACAGAAGAGTCGTGTGTTTTTGGAGTGCTGGAGATGGCGGTACCAACAGTTCATTGCTTGGAACTGCTGGATCCCATTGTTTATGGGTCATCTTCTTGTGCCTGTGGGACTTGGAATGCATTCCATCACCTTGGGCCGAGCTGGTGGAGGGAATGTTGATTTCCTTGGATTTTGAGAAAGATTTAGTCCCATGCTTATGGGACTGCATCCTAATCTCCCAAATAAACCCCACTATTGGGTCAGCAGGGGTGGTTCTGCTGGCACTGGAATCGGACATAGCAGTGGGAGGCTAACTCCTCACTGAATTAGCCATGATGTGAGCTTCTCCCAGGCAGTAGAGGCAGTGTTGGTGGTCATCGCTGATCGATAAGGATCGCATGCAGGAGGTGCAGAGTTTGTACCCTGGAGCTCTGGGCATAATCCAGGACCCACACAGGGCAGCAGAGAAGTCCCTAAAGTCTACTCTAAACTAACATTAAAACTATTAATTACTAAAACCAAGAAAGAAATAAAACTAGTAAAATTACTGTTAAAACTATTTACAACTATGCTTTTTTACAACTGCATCAGAAAAGGACGATGAAGGTTCTGACCCAGATCTTCAGCTGTGAGAAAGAACTGGAGATGCAGTCGGTCCTTCCCGCCATTTATTGCCTCGGACGGAAGCACAAGGTGAGTCAAGGTGCATGCAAAGACTAACAGACGCTACTTTCAAACTCTCTGACTCTGGGTGCATGGTGCACATGCGTAAACCCCCAGTGGAATACAATAGGGACTATCACTCAAAGATGAACCCTATGTTTAGGAGGGTGGCGAGAAAGATATTGGGCATCAGAGTTGTAGTCTAAATATTGGTTTTCAACCTGGGAATGTTCTGACCTTTCCTATATCACCCATTTGGCTGAAATATAATTATCAGTTGGCTTTGAGATTGAGTGTGCCAGGTTATTCTTGGGGCTGAAAGCTGACCAGGATTTGTGGCTTCCCACATTATTTTAATGGAATTTGTTCATACATTTATTTTTATTGCTTTCGTTAACCTCATTTATTTAAAATAAATCTAGAAACTTAAGTGGATCAGATGTCCTCTGCCCCAGACATCAGGGGCTGTAGCTAACTGTGAAGACCTCTGGCATATCTATCAATAAGCCACTTCTTGCTTCTCCATAGAACCTGCTCCCCTTAGTCCTCATGCTAGGCATTTTGGTAGCAAGGAATGGGACCAATTAGCGCTTTTGATATCTGGAAAGGCACAGGAGGCAGCACAGGATTTTGGAGGTAGTTGTTTTTGGCGGGATGTATCTCTTCAATTCCTGCCATTTGTGGGCAGGAGCAGAGATAACCAGATTTCTTTTTCTTTTCTTTTTTTTTTTTTGGGGGGGGGGGAAGGGGTTTTGGACTCTTAGTTCCATAAAAAAACAATTTCCCCTTGTCTCTACCTCAATAGCCAGCCACACATCAACAACAATGGACAGGCACGTTACCTGAACGTTTATGAGGACAACTGTCATCATCAGACTTGAGTGAGCCTCATGCTAAAATAGTTAGCTGTTTCAGGCTCTTAGTTTGCAGACTTAGGAAGACCTCACAGCATTTTTCTATATTCAAACTTATTTTTGCAACCATAAGGCTTAGAAATTTAAATTTTATAAGTCAAAGGAAATATTAAATTCTGCAACAGAGGTGGATTCTATGGCAAGTCCTACAGCCATAGAATTATGGCCAGGAGTACATTTTTTCTCTCAGTCCATTTGGGGCCACTAATATGCTGACCGTGTCAGCCAGCAATCTGAGTCCTTCTACTGGCTAGGTCTCCACTGCATCAAGTACAAGCTTTGGTTCCTTACCTTTAAGGCCCTTCACAACTCAACCTCTCCCTATTTATTGACTCTAGAATCTTCTGTTGCCCTTCACCGTTCTACTAATGATGCCAGCCTCATTTGCCTGTGTATTTTTCTCCCACAAACACTTGTGTGATTTCTTCCACACTGGTTCTTATTTATGAAGTACTCTCAGAAATAGCTTCTAAAACTACTAACCTCTTTAAAATTTCTTCTCAAAACCCGCTTTTACTGTTATGCATATGGGATACTTCTAACAGATAATGGCCAATACGGATTTCTGACAATTATCTTATTTAGTGGGCCCACCTAACTGCATGTTCTTTCATTGTCTCCCTCATCTTTCCTCCCTTATTCCTTCAGATTGTATATCCACTGTTTGTGTTTCATCTTAAATTTGATTGTAAGTTCTTTGGGGGCAAGGACTGTCATATACTCGTTGTCTGTAGAACCCCTAGCATAACAAGGTTCCACAATCCTGACAGGGGCATATAGGTACTATTGTAATAAAAATATATTAAACCTTGTAATTTAAAATATTGTATCTGATATAAAGACAGATGTATTGTACGTTACAACTTACTGAATCCACCTTTAGATTCATTTCCTTACCTTCATATTTACATCTGCTCCATTACAGACCAAAAGTTCTAAACACAATGCTCCATGTGTTGATGCAGCAGCAAAGTGCAAAGGTGTAAAACCTTTCTCATTCATCTGATTTACATTAGCACCACAGTCTATAAGTTCATTTACTACAACATCTTGTCCATTGTAGCAAGCTACGTGAAGAGGTGTATTTCCGTAGGCATTTGGTTCATTCATCTGATGGGAAAAAACAAGACGATTAGTTAAGATACTGTGAAATTCTACCAAACTTCTTTTATGCCATCATGCAACCGTATTTAACTATGTACAACAGAACATCTTTTGTTGTTATGCAGGATGTCTTCATTGCATTGTGGAATACCACAAAACAGTACATTAAATGTGTTCTGGACTGGATTTCCTTGACCAAAAAAAACTTTAGAATGGAATACTTTTTAACCTCTCTGAGAGGAGATAATTAAAGTGTTTGGTAGTGTGAAAGGAATAGTTGTGTGAAAGGAAGGTATTCTGCCACTTGTAAATAGAAATCTCCAATTTATTACCACAGAAGATCCACATTGTTGGGATCATGTACCTTGATTCTATGAGCCCCAAAAGCTCCTATAATGCAGAGACATTGGTGGCAAGTACACACCCTTCCCTTGATCTAAACATCAAGATTGTATAATGGAGGGTCTCACACTTTCTTGCTTTTGTAGGCACACCCCATTGCAGGCAACAGAGTCTCCTTGCATTCCTTAGCCCCTCAAGATGCCTGTGTGCCACACTGCCATCCCCTTCTATTTCAGGGGCTCTCTGCAACCTACCTCTCATGCCAGTGGCGGTGTGCCCTCATCGTTTCTTCTCCACATTCACTCTTCTGCCACATGCCAGGGTCTCTGTGTGCATCTCTATGCATCACTTTCTCCCATACCAAGGAACCTCATTCTCCCCACTGCCAGGGTCATCCAGTCTCTCCCAAGCCCACCAAGGGTTGTGTGTGCCACCAACTCATCCCCCATGCCAGGGCTCTGTGAATGCCCTATGTCCATACATTATGCTGGAACATGTTAATGGATACCATCAATCAGTTCTTTAATCTATAGACAACTACAGAAGTGGCTAAAGCTCCTGGGTGTGCTAGATGAATGGAAAGGGCTCCATGTGACCCCATTTCCCTCTTTCCCTCCTCCCCCAGTTTTCACCAAAATCAATAGGGTTTGTTCACTGATGCCTAAAACATTCCCTGAAATTTTGGAATTGAGTGGATGCAGTATTCAAAAGTTATCACATTACTGATAGACAAGTTCCAGTGACTCCACCTCCCTCAATTCCTTACTGCCAGTTCCAAATACATAGTAATAATCTAGAAAAACAAAGCAGAAAAGTGGGCGAGTGTTGGTCTGCAGAGGCAACATGCTCTGACAACTCCAGTTAAAAGTGAAGAATGTTCTTTTATCTTTTGCAAATTGTCTTTGCAGATCCCTTTTAATGGACAACAAGAACCTCACAGAGGATGGTTGAGTATTTAAACAGCAGAACTGCTATCCCCAAATGAACATTAGGGACTTAAAACTAAAATTTTATTCCTGCTGGAATTCTGCACCATTGCACGATGCAGAATTTGCGCAGAATTAATGTTCCTCACAGAATTTTATTTTTTCACGCAGAATGTGACAGCCAGAGCCCAGCTGTCAACAGCTGGACCTCCTGTATTTCAAAAATACTATTTTGAAATAAATTACCAAAATAACAAACTGGTGTGAGAGTGTTATTTTGTAAAATATGCAGAATTTAAAAATATTGCATGCAGAATTTTTAATATTGGGGCACAGAATCCCCCCAGGAGTAATTAAATGTAGACACTTTGGTGCCTAGATCTAGTCATCTAAATAAGTGGCCTGTTGTTCCATGGTACTGAATGTCTGCGGGGCCTACTGAATTTAATAGGAATTTTGGGTGCCAAATCCTTCTGAAAATCAGGCCACATATTAAGGTGCCTAAATATGGATTTTAGGCACCTAAGTTTGGAAATATTTGTCTTAGCCCCTAAGATATGAGAAACTAATACTGCATTAATGTGCAAATTGAGCTCCAAGTTACATTATACAAAGAAACATCATAGTTTTCAAACTACAACTTCAGAAGCAATAGCCACTCTGTGCAAGATTGCAAGATGACTCAAAAGGTGAAACTCCAATAGGCTTACAATTCAGTTTAATAAATTTCTTTTTATAATCTCAAAAATACTGACAATATTTTTGTTAATATATTTTTATAACTAGGTACTTATATGACCATCATTAGTGTAGTATCAGAGTACTTCACAATCGTTAATGATTTACCCTCAAAACTCCTGTGAGATAAGGAAGTTTTATCTCCACTTTACAGATGGGGAACTGAAACAAGAGATAAGGTCACAGAAAAAGTGTACATCAGAGCTAGCAACAGAACTCCAATCTCCCGAGTCCCAGTCTAGTGCCTTAAACATAGGATCATTCCTTCCATCCTGGAAGATAATGAAACCATTTAAGGACAAGTTTACCTTTAAGTGAAAATCTGTAGAAGAAACTTGAGCCTAGGGAGTGAAGTCCTGTAATCAATAAATAAATGAGTGAAGACCTTGTGAAGTACTCTTACTACCATTATTCTTGGTCATGAAGAAAGGAGCATTCTCTGCGCCACTATATTCCTGATCAGTAATAGTTTAGATTTTTCTTATGTCATTTGCCTTTGGCTACATGTTTACTTACATCAACTCCAAGATCTAGAAGATATTTGACTACGCTGATCATTCCACTAGATGCTGCAGCATGTAGGGGTGTATATGATTTCTTGTCTTTGCATGACACCTCAGCTCCATGGGTCACAAGTAATTTCACAACTTCAATGTGACCTGGGCAAATAAAAGAATAAATAAATAATATTAAGACGCAACTTGATTTATCAATTGTGCTCTGACTTTTACAAAAATAATACCAATTTATTATTAGCTGCACTTGATCAACTTTTAAAGGTGAAAAATCCAGTACAGACTCTCATTTAAAAGAAGCAAAGAACCATATTCTTTCCTTACGATTTATAAAGGCAGTCTAAAATATTTCCTCCATGTATTTTCTCCTACTCCAAACAATCTCTCTCACCTTGATTTTTGATTTATATAGAAAATATCAGATCTTGTCTTCTGTTTTTGCTGAAGGATTTTTTGGAGGACTTAAAACCTCCAAAACCAGCCCATTAGCTCTCAAATCCAACTGAGAGGGGAAGGGATTTTTAGTAAGCTATTTAAAACTTTTGCTCATCTGATTTAATACCTATCTAACCCAAACTTCTGTCAAAGATTTGAAAGAAAAGCTCAGAACCTTGCTCCTTCAAACTGAAGACTGAGAAAACTTCCATTTAATTTCTTAAGGCCTCCTGCATGAATCATGAAAAAGACTTCATATTCCTGAAGTTTCTAAAGTAGAAACAAGCAGAAAGATAAGTCTCTTTTTAAGAAAACATTTCTAGACTTTGTAATATAAAAAATTTAAATGATTTTTCCTTTACAGATATGTTATTTTTTGAAAACTTTACCCGAAGTGATTTAGAAACCCAAGTTCCATTTTCAAAAGCGACTTAAGATTCAAAAGCCTAAGCTTCATTGAAACTCAATGGGACATACGCTCCTAATTCCCCAGGTCATTTTTTAAAATAAAGGCTTGGCTATGCTTAAAAGGCTGCAGCAGCATAGCTGTACCAATGCATCTGCGGCGCTGTAGCGCTTCAGTGAAACACTACCTACGCTGATGGAAGGGCTTCTCCCATTGGCATAAGATGGTAATCCAACTCCACGAGAGGCGGTGACTATGTTGATTAGAGAAGCCTTCCCATCGACATAGCACTGTCTACACTGGGAGTTAGGTTGTTATAACTTCATTTATGTTGGTGTAACTTATGTTGCTTAGGAGGGTGTTTTATTCATCCCCCTGAGTGACATAAGTTATGCCATCATAAACCATAGTATATACATAACTTAAGTGAGAATCAGGACCACTGTATATGAACATACGCACACTGATTTCTTTAAAAAAAATTAAGAAGTTAATTTTATCCCTCCCTCTCCGCTGTCCCCAAATCTATTTAAAAAATGAAAATTAGACAAGTGATATGCTCCAGGGATAAAGTATCCTATTACGTGTCTATAAAAGTAGCATGTGCTAAAATTGGTAGATAGAATGTAGCTTAGCTGAACAAGAGAAAGCATTTGTTTTTCCAGCTGGGTGAGCACACACCACAAAATGTATGTGTCCTCATTACAACCCCGATAATGCTTGTCCATACATAGCTGTGGCATCGCAAACACTGAATTTCATTCCCTCAAAAGTACTTCTGCAGGCAGGATAAATCAGATCTTAAATATTTATCTCTAAGAACACTGGATCAATAACAGTCACACACATCAACTTCTTGGCTGAAGTGATTATCAACAGTTTAAGTCTGATGTCAGCATGGCTTCAAACAATGAGTAATGGTATTAACAGTGCTTAATTCACTGGGAAGTGTCAGCAACTTTCTAGCTGCCATAAGCCTCCCCCCTACAGAAGAAAGTCTGTGATCTTGTTCTGTTTTACTCTTTGGCACTATGAGTATGGATTTCCCAGCATGATGTACATATTTTACACTAGTACTGGATGGCTCCAATCCCCTGATTTCAAGGATGAAAGACTAATTTAAAACAGGCTTTAAACACAGACTTCTGCAAATTGGATTATTGATATTCTTACTTGTATAAGTGAAGCAATTTCTAGGACAAGAAATCCAGATATTTGTGACTAGATCACTTTTACAACCATTCTGATCTATCAGGTGACCATCCATTTAAGCTTTTTTTCTTCTTCTCAAATATGCATTTTCTACTTTGTAAACTACAAAAGATTTTACAGACCTCAGCACCAAGCATGCTTGCAGTGCTTTATAAAGTTATTTAACAACTCTTCCTCGATCCACCCATACAAATTTAGGAGTTTCATTTATTGGGCAGATATCTATCCTGACTTCTTTATATTTAAACAGGAACATGTGTACCATGACCCTTCCTCCCACCAATTATTATTATTATTATTATTAATAGATTGAGTAAACGATTTGAAAATTGTATTTTCAATGTTTCCAGCTCCTGTCTCCACTTTGAGAGGCCAATTAAGTAAAAGAAAAAAAACTTTTGAAGTGATAACCAAGATAGCCCAGATGGACTACAAGCTATCACTTCAAAAGTTTTTTTTCTTTTACTTAATTGGCCTCTCAAAGTGGA